TGTGATCAGCTGGTTTTGGTTGTCAGCAGCAAAACTGGTTGATCCACCCTGAGACGGTGCTATTTAAGAGACTGAGCTGAATACAGCTCCTCAGACTGAGGAAGTCTCTCGGATGAGAGACGAAACGTTTCTACATTTTTTTGTTGATTTGCTTTGTTTTGTTTTTTTTGAATGTCCAGAGGACCAGATTTAACTTTTTTAGATACTGTATTTGTATTTAGCTAAAAGTAACAAAGCTTTTACTAAAAGTAGCTAAAACTATCCAGCATTAAATTCCGCAGAAGTTGGATAAAAGCTAAAGTAGCAAAATTTTGTTTAGAGGTTAAAAATAACAAAGGGTTAGCTAAAAGCTAAAAATAGCAAATTGCAAGTTAGCTAAAGGCATCAAAAGAAAGCTAGAAGCTAAAGTAAAAAGCTAGCTAAACTAGCAGAATTATAGTTAAAACAAACAGGAAAATGTTTAGCTAAAAATTATCTAAAGCCTAAAAGTAGAAAAGATGAGCTAATGCATCAACATTTAAGCTAGAAGCTACAAGTAGCCAAAGGCTAGCTGATAAGTAGCACAACACAGCTAACAGTAGCACAAGATTATTTACAACCTAAAAGTAACAAAAGTCAAGTTAGAAGCTAAAACTAGCTAAAGGCTAGCTAAAATCTAGAATCAACGTTTACAGATTAAAATAACTTGAGTCTGAATATAAGCCGAAGAATCTTTTCTCACCATGTTTAAGCCCATCTCCAGCCTGTCAGTTCTACCCACAACTTTAATGAAATCTCTTCTGAATTTCATCTGGACCTTAAAGAAAAAATAATTTGATTGACACGCTGCTGTCATGTGGTCCCACAGATGGGAGCAGAAGGGTCACCGTGTTGTTCCTGAAGGACAGAACTCAGACGCCCTATGAGGAAAAAGTTTTCTCTAAGGACAAAGTTTTGTAGAGAACGACGAGTGCTGAAGCAGCTTTCCACGGTGCCACGACTGTACAGAGTCTGCAGGTACTGCAGGGAGACGGCCGCCAAGTTCAGCTGCACAACTTGCTGCTACAAGACACAAATTTATCATCGTATAGGTGGAATGCATACCACCCGCTATCCTGCATGACAGAAGTTTAAACAAAGACTGTGATCTGTTGGTGCTTAGAGTACGAGTTAGGAATGACTCTCAGCTACCACCACACCAGACTGAAGCTTAATATATTTAAATCTTGTGTCAGCCGACCCCACATTGCTGTTTTGGGACCTACAGCAGGGTACAGACCCCAACTTTGGTAACCATCTGAGACTTTGTTGGACTAACCTGAAGTGTCCTGGTCTGTTTCAGACCCAGAGTGTCTGGACCAGTTTACCAGCCAGGTCAAAGATGGACTGCTGGGTCTTCATGGACTTTCCTACACATAAATTCTGCAGAGAAAACTTAAAGGTCCCCAATCCTGAGAATTGACCCCCTTGAAGAAAGCAAATGTATTATTATGGATGATGGATGAACAGGATGAATAGTTAGTTGGATGATGGATGGATGGATGAACATGATGAATAGTTGGTTGGATGATGGATATATGGATAATGGATAGAATGATGGATGAACAGGATGCTGGATGGATGAAAGATGGATGAATGGATGGTTGGATAGAGGGACAGATGGTTGGTTAGATGGATGTTGGATGAATGCTGGATGAATGGATGGATTGATGATGGTTGGATGTACAGTTGGATGAATTTACCTTCTGTAATATGGAGATTTCTGCCCATATCCGGTCAACAACCATCAATGTAAATGACTCACAGTCATGCGATAACAACGATGTCACATTACTGTACCTGCCCGGGTACAGTTAATAAAATAATCAAGGGTAAAAGCTCCACCCGCCTTCAGAGAGCCGTGACCGCGTGCGAAGTGTCCTGTCCACGTGTCCTCTTCGGACAGCAGCCGAATGTCCCAGCTGGGTGAAGCTGACACCCCACCTGAATGTGCCTCATGTCCCTCAGTCCTCCGCTCTATCTGTGGCCTCCAGAGACGCGCACCGCTGCGTCAGCGGATTCCACCACAAAGTGCGTCATCCAAGCAGTTACAGAACCTGTGAGCGGAAAGATGAATTAGATTTGGTGAATTTTTTGGTGAATCTCCAGTCATCACTCAGCATGAAGTATGACAACCTGACTGTAAACCACAAGAAGCTGGAGTTCAATAGTTCAGTAAGCTGCCACGATGAGAAGAAACAAAAGTAAAACCTCCTCCCGGAAGTTCCTTCCTACTCTCCACATGATTTTCTCCTGCAGAAATTTGATGGTAACATCTACAAGTTTTTGAGAAGAAGAAGACGGACTCAGCTCTCCTCCTGCTGTGAGACAAACATGGTGAAAATACTTCTCACGCTTCTGCTGCTCATATTACTCACAGGTAAGACACTATTCTTTTATATAATATAATATAATACAGCACAGTATTATAGTAAAATATATTACAGAATATATAAATATTATTTAATAAATTATAATTATTTATTTAATTTCCCTCTGGGATTTATAAAGTATTTTTGAAAAACATTATAGTACAGTGTTGTATAGTATAGTATAGTATAGTATAGTATAGTATAGTATAGTATAGTATAGTATAGTATAGTATAGTATAGTATAGTATAGTATAGTATAGTATAGTATTCATTCAACCTTTATTTAGACAGCTTAATCCCACTGAGCCTTGGGGACTCATTTACAAGAGAGACCTGATAATAATATTAGAGAATAGTATAGTATAGTACACTACAGTACATTATAATATAGTTCTGTATAATTTGTAGAACAGTATAGTACATCAAATTACTGTACCGTATAGTATATTACAGCTGTGGCTGAGTGGTTTGAGAGGTCGTCCTCCAATGGCAGAGTTGGGGGTTCGATTCCACCAGCAGTCACATGCTGAAGTATCCCTGTATGGGCAAGACATTGAACCCCCCACTGCCTTAGATGTTTGTCTTTGAGTATCTTGACAAGATAGAAAGGCACTACAGTATATAAGTACAGTCCAGTTATGATATAGTACAATACAATATAGTATACAAAGTATTAAAATACAGTACAGTATAGTACATCATACCATACAGCATAGTATATTAGTTCAGTATAGTATATCATAGTACAATGCAGTATAGTACATCATATCATCCATCCATTATCTTCTGCTTGGTCCGAAGTCAGGTCGCGGGGGCATCATCTTGAGCAGGGAGGTCCAGACACTCTCTCCACAGCCTCCTCTTCCAGCTCTTCTGGGAGGACACCAAGGTGTTCCCAGGCCAACCGAGAGACATAGTCTCTACAGCTTGTCCTGAGTCTTCCCCGGGGTCTCCTCTCAGTCGGCCATGCCTGAAGCACCTCCTTAGGGAGGCGCCCAGGGAGCATCCTTACCAGATACCCGAACCACATCAACTGGCTCTTCTCAATGTGGAGGAGCAGCAGTTTTATTCGGAGTCCCTCCTGGATAATTGAACTTCTCGCCCTATCTCTAAGGGAGAGTCCAGCTACCCTGCAGAGGAAACTCATTTCAACCGCCTGTATCCATGATCTCATTCTTTCGGTCACTACCCAGAGTTCATGATCATAAGGTGAGGGAACGTCAACCAACTGGTAAACAGAGAGCTTTGCCTTACAGCTCAGCAGATGTTGCATCAATCAATCTGTCAATCTCAAGCTCAGTTCTTCCCTCACTCATGAACAAAACCCCGACATACTTGAACTCCCCCACTCGAGGCAGAACCTCACCCTCGACCTGAAGAGAGCAATCCACACTTTTCAGACTGAGGACCATGGCCTCAGGTTTGGAGGTGCTGATTCTCATCCCCGCTGCTTCACGCTCGGCTGCAAGCTTTTTAACTACCTCGAGGCTCAGCGACCTCAGCCGTGGTTATGGACAGAACAAACCTGAAGTCCTCAAACTCAGCTTCCTCCATGGAAGACATGCAGGTGGGATTGAGAAGGTCTGAGAAGTATTCCTTCCAGCTACCAACAACATCCCTGGCTGAAGTCAACAGCACCCCACCTTCATTGAACACTGTGTTAGTAAAGCGCTGCGTTCCCTTCCTCAGCTGCTTGATGGTTTGCCAGAATCTCCTTGGAACCTCTCATACCTCTCATACCATACAGCATAGTACATCATAGTACATCACAGTACATCACAGTATACAGCATAGTACTTTAAAGAGAGACAACAGTGGAAAGGAGCAGGAAGTGATCATGTTTATCACTTTAACGTTTTCACACAGCTCTCCTGGTATTTAGCTCATTTTAAAGGAAGACGACATCTTTGTTAATCTTTCTGGAATAAAGGTCACCTGGGGGGGGGGGGGGGGGGGGGTGCACCGATAAATCGGCCGACTGATTTATCGACCCCCATTTCCTTAATTTTGGGAAATCGGCCGATACTTATATGAGAAACCGATTTTACCATTTTTTTAGTTTTAACAACAATTGTCTGAACTTCTTTTATATTTCAGAGCACTAACTCATGGCAAGTTAAAACAAGATTGTATTGTTTCTAGGATATTGTTCAAGGGTATGTTTTTCAGTCAAATAAAATTGGAAAATTGGAGGTGCTTTGTGACCTTATAACACCTGACAGTGTCGCTTAGAAAACAAAATCGGTATTGGCAGCTCAGACTTTGTGGGAGATAAGCATCTCCACCCAGCTGTCCTCTGGCACCGTCATTCTACAAACCGTGACACCAAAGCATCTAAAACACACCATTCAAATGACAACGACAGAGTCAAATAAGGAACGATGACGTGTACAATAAAATAATGTACAATACATACACATAACAATGTGTCAGGAGGCAGATCACTACTTTTTGTCTGTCTAAGCAGATCTCACTTGTAAATGAGTCTTCGAGGTTCAATGTGATTTATCTGTCTAAATAAAGGTTGAATGAAAAAGATAAAAAAAAGTAATATATTTCAATCAGTAAATTACATTTTTAAGGATTAGGCTACAAGAAGCTTCATCAAGACATGTGCACCCAAAGTGTTACAAGCTTATCGTTGTTTAAATAATTCACACCCTTCAGTTCTCTTATTCCACTTCCTCTGTAGATTTTGCAAACACTGCAGGATCTGTGGGTAAAAACATACCGGTACATCAGAATGAATGATTTATTGGCTGCACAACTGAATTCAACTCTAATTATTGGGATATTTGCTTTGCACACCTCAGTCTGCTTAGACCATCCATCACTGCTGAACGTCTCTGTTTAGACTTATAATCTCCAAGAAAATAACGTGATTAGAGTGCTTCTGCTGTCTGTCAGTGTTTAACTCTAAAAACAACAAAAGATTACAAAAAGGCTCCTGGGGTCACATCACCTGCTTTATTTGGTTTTATTCTCTAAAGTTCAATAACAGAGAAATAACCCAATGTTCTCGTCAGAGCATCTCTGTAACACTTCACTTTGTTTACAGCTTTAAAACTGAGGTTAAATGAGGACAATGTGGGATTTAAAGGACTTCTTAAAGTTTGTTGGTTTGTCTTACTGTCTTCAGAACACAAACCTGTTTTGTCTTGTTTTTTTGAGTCACCTCGCATCAGCCACTCAGCAGCCAAAGGTTTAAATTTCGGCTGACCGTTTAAACAGCGATTCTTTAATTAGCAGCAGTAGATATCCTGATTATAATACCGACATATCAGTGAATATATTTGGTCATTTTGACAAAATAAAGCCATCTAAACTCTGTGACTGTCTCTCTTGCAGCTGTGTGCTCGCTGAGACCAAAGGTGGTATACAAAAAGGCAGGCGAGATGGTGGTTCTGCACTGCCCTGTGTGTACTGAAGGCACACCTTTATGGACCGGTGACACATTGACTCAGACCAACAACAGGTCCGAATCAGCTGATCCGAGTCATATGGGCGTGTTGATTCATGGACAGAGCCTTGTGATTCTCAACGTTTCTGTGAACCATCGGGGGAAATACTCGTGTTCTCTTGGGTAAGACACACCCTCATGAACTTCTGACACACAAACAGCTCAGCAGGAAATTTTCTCTTTCGTGGAAACAGAAGTTTTCTGTCATCTTGTCAGAATGGAACTTGGAATGCCAAGTTCCATTCTGACTTCTTCTGTCATAACTGCTAATTTGTCTGCCTCTACCGCTCCTCTGTCTTGTGGTGTGCCGCAGGGCTCTATTCTTGGCATCTTCTTTTCTTATTTTATATGCTGCCACTTGGATCACTTAAAGCCAGACATCATGTTTCTTGCTATGCAGATGACTTACAGATTTATTTGTCCATTAAGCCTAAAGATAGTAAGTATCCTGATGCATGCTCAATAATCCAGGTAGAAAAATCCAAAAAAGTTCAATCTGGTCCTCTGGACATTCAATGAATGGATGTCCAGATGTCCAGTCCTTTGAATGTCCAGATGACCAGATTGAACTTTTTTGGATAAAGATAGTAAGGTTCAAACTTCCTTTCTTGATCGTATTGACAACATTAAATGGTGGCCTCACCAAAAATTCCAGTGTTTAAATCAAAGAAAGACAGCGTGCACCCTTTTGGTTATGATGCTCCTTGTAACTTTGGTGCTCTGAGATCTAAGTTGAGACCCACAGTCAAAAACTTGGGGGTGACAAGGATTTGAAATTTGATCAACATTTAGCCTCTGTAGTCAAGGTTGTTTTTATCATTGATGTCTTTAGCCAATGTTCAGCCTTTTGGTAATCATCCTGACCTGGAAAAGACCACTCAGGCTTTTATCAATTCAAGGTTTTCCTACAGTAATGCTCTTATGTTGGAACCTCCCAGTCCTCCTTCAGGGGTCCTCGACTTTTTACAAGAACGTTTAACATTCCCTGACTTGAGCACATCACATGTTTTATTCTTACTCCGTTGACTTCCAGTCAATTGTATTTTAAGCTCTTATTGTTTACTTTTAAAGCTCTTAATGGTCTTGGTCCACCTTAATTAGAAATGAGTGTCATTGAGCATCCATGAGCATGTGAGAACATTAGAATTCAGGTCTCTCTTGTAAATGAGTCCTCGAGGCTCAATGGGATTTACCTGTCTAAATAAACGTTGAATGAATGAGAATCAACTAACACATCTTTACTATATGTTCCAAGGTTCTATAATAAATGTTGGGGTGACCACCGGACCTTTTCAATTGCTGCACCCAGACTGTGAAACCAACCTCAGGACTTGCACTCCATCACTGACCTGAGCCTTTTTAAAGTTAATCTTAAAGCCTTTAGATACTGCGTGGCACTCTTGCATTTTGGATTTTTTTAAATGTTCATTTTAACTTTTGTACTGTAAAGTACTTTAATCACCTTTTGGTTGTTGTAAAGTGTTCCATAAATAAATGCTGATTGATGCTAACTGAGTTACTTCATTAGTTAAAGCTTTCCAGTCCTAGATTTGACTCTTTTCAGCCTTCAGGTAGCTCAGGGGTCTTGTAAACCTGCAGGTTCTAGCCCAGGTTGCGTCAGGAAGAACATCCGGTGCCAAATCCTTCATGTGAGTTTTTTCAATCCCTGCAGGAGGGAACAGCCGAAAGAAAAACACCAAGACTCATCACCAACACAAAGACAGAGCATTAAAAAAATGTACATGAACGCTTTAACTAATGCAGTGCAGTGGGCGATATCCACTCCTTCAAAGACTTTAATTTAAATTTGCATTCACAATTTGATGTCTAATTTAGATCAAAATTGATCTAATTTATAAGCTTATATCAAATGTTGGCATGTGCAGTTGTGTGATGACTTTGGTGTTGCTGTCTAAGAACGATTTTTGATCTCAAGATGATTTTTCTGGTTAGAGAAAGAGAATATTCAGAAAACACAGGAAACCTTTGCCTTAAGCTTGTATCTCACTGGGATTAAATTGTTGGCAACTAGGTGGCAAATGGAATTCATGAGAGTCTCAAAAATGTTCCCAAAATCTTTGTGGGAATTCTCAATTTCCTTGCAAGAGTCACAGAGGCATGCATTTTTTAACTTAAGAGGTTTGTGCAACTATTTTTTTCATTAAAATAGTTACAGTTCTTTGTTCTGTTGCGTGCATCTCAAACTGTTTTTAGCTTTCTTATAGAGTCTCAAACTCATCCTGAACCAGTTTCATACCCTTCTCAATTTTGTTAAACTTGTATCAAACCGTTCTTAACTTTGTTGCAAAGTTTCAATCTTGTCTCTAACCTTTCTTTAACCCTTCCTAACTTTGCTGTAGGTGTCTTTAACCCATTTGAAACTCATCTCAAACCCTTCTTAACTTTGTCACGGTGTCTCAAACTTTCTCAAACCCATCTTAACTTTGTTGCAGGGTCTCAAACTCATCTGGAACTTCAACCTTTCTTGCACCCTTCTTAATTTACTTGCAGTTGTCTCAAACTTGTCTTATTTTTATTTAACATTTTCAAAAAACCCTTCAAGCCCATCTCATACTCTTCTCAATTTTGTTAAGGGGTTCTCAAACTTGTATCAAACCCTTCTTAACTTTGTTGCAAAGTCTTAGACCTTTCTTTTACCCTTCATAATTTTGTGGAGGATGTCTTAAACCCATTTGAAACTCATCTCAAACACTTCTTAACTTTGTCAGTTTGTCTCAAACATTCTCGATCCCTTCTAATAACCTTAATGTTTTTTGTTGACATCTCAAACTCACCTCAAACTCCCATAACCTATAATACAGACAAACTAGCCAAACAAATTCAAAATAAACAATTTGAAAACTGTAAGTTATATTTCACATCATTTTAAATTTCATTTTAAAATCCTGTCACATGTGAAACACAAACTGACTGACAGCCTTTGTTCCTTTTCCTTCATAATTATTGGTGCGCAAATTCAACATTACATTTTTTGCTTTTAATATTTTCCCTGTCATGGCAGGAATGCCAGCAGCCCGTTCTGGTTCCAGCTGAGAGTGTACACCACCCACTGCAGCGAGTATGAAAAGAGGAGTCGGTACCTCACAACTTGTTACACTCAGGAGCCCTGCAGGTTGTTCTGTCCTGCCAAGAACATCCCGGCTGAAGACACACCCAACATCACCACCAAAGGCATCACATGGCACCAGGTACTAAAAAGAAGCACATTTATGGTTTAATACACTTTTTCCATGTTGCTGAAAACCTTTCTGCAGAAGGGTGAAACATCACCAACAAATAGTTTCTTCTCGAGTGCGGAGGTTAAAGACAGCGGCGTCTACATCTGCACCAGATCTTACTTTTATGACGCTCACATCTACAACACCAGCTTTACGGTCGAACTTGATGTCCAGCCAAGCAGTAAGAAAAAAATACATATTTCAATAATTTACTGTCAGTAAAGTTCACGTGTTTAAAGAAATGTTCTTTATGTTTCTACAGAGCAGCACGGACAATCACTGATTCTGTCACCAAAGCCAAACGACGTATTTCATGTAATTTTAGGTGAGTTCTTCTTTTAGAGTCAAACTAGCAGTGCATTGCATGATCGCCCGCTGCCAGGAAAGGTGGACGATCATGTCTGTGTCTGTTAGCAAAAAATCTCCTTAAACTCTGAACAGATTTGAATTAAATTCAAGTTATCACTCGATGTGCAGCTACAAATTACTGGAGTCATCCCCAGTCAAAATGGCCGTCACAGCTAATCAGCTGTAGCAAATACAAAATGGCTACCACTGAGTCAGTTTTACAGACGTTGAACTATGACATGGTGTGGTAGTAGCTGAAAGTCATCCCAAGTCCTTCTTGCTACAGTGTTGTTAATGTTAGCTGTTATTGATGGGTCATATATTCACTATGGGCTTGTCAGACTCAAACTAACCTCTGCTGACATCATCTTCAGCTACGGGTACTCAGAGGGTACAAACTTCATTACATCATATTAGCCACCTTTTTGATATTTTACCTTTAGCATGTTTAGCAAATTGTAGTTTGATCCTTTTAACTTTAGCTTCCTTTTTCTAGTTTTAGTAAGTAATAGCTCCTTTTTGCATCTGCGTTGCAAATTGTAGCTACTTCTGTAGTTTTTCTATTAATTACCTTCTTTTAGAAAGTATTTTTAGCTAATTCTAGTATATTTTATGCTAATTTTAGCTACTTTTGCACACATTTTAGTTTTAATTCAATTCGGTTATGTTAAAGCCTGACAGAAGTCCTTTCACGACACTGCACAAAAACATTCACATACATTTTAAAAGCCACTTAGTTCAGGAAGCAGATTGTGTTGAATCTTCATTTCGTCGCAGTCTCCTGAGCAAACACAAAGGAGACAGTGGAAAGGAAAAACTCCCTTTTTATAGGAAGAAACCTCCAGCAGACCCAAGCTCAGGATGAGCGGCCATCTGCTTCGACAGGTGGGAGTTTGAGAGGAAGTAGAAACAAACAAACAGAATGTTAAGTCCAGCATCTGTTGTAAAACTTTTTGCTATTAATTTGATCATTGAAGCATCGGTTTGGTCAATTTTAGCCACCATTTTGCTAGTTCATTCATTTGTTTTGCTCAGTGTAGCTGATTTGATCATGTTAGCATGCATTTTTTAATTTTTTGTAGCTTTAGCTTCTATTTTGTTAATATTAGCTACCTTTTGACTAATTTAGCTTTTGGCATCTGTTTAGCAGATTTTAGCTGTAGCATCTGCTTTGCAAACTGTAGCTACTGTTTCTCTAGTTTTAGCGCTTGTTTCCTTCTTTGAGCTACTATTTTATTAATTCTAGCATCTGATTTACAAATTTTAGCTCAGAATAAAAAAAAAATCCCTTTTAAAAGTGAGTTTTTCCTTTCCACTGTTGCTTTTGAGCTTGCTCAGGATGGGAAACTGTGATGAAGTGAAGATTCAACGAGTCTGCTGCTTCCTTAGATGGAGACCTTTAATTGGCTTTTCTATGTATGTGAAAGTTTCTGAGACAACTTTGTTGTGAATTGGCACTATATAAATAAACTGAATTGAATTTTAGCATCTGTTTTGCTAGTTTTAGCTGTAGCATTTGTGTGGTTCATTTTAACTTGAACTACCCAGTTTCAGCTCCTTTTATCACCACCAGCTCCGAGCGTTCACAGATCTTTGTTTGAAACTTTGCGAGGCGGCGGGTGATATGCATTCCTTTAAGGAACTCTGTGGTTTCATCTCTGATGGAACAAATGAAGACTTTTTGTTCTTCAGGCTCCACGGCAGTGATACGATGTGACACTGTCGTGTCTTCAGACTTTGACGAGGTTTTCTGGCTGAGCGAGACGTCATTTGTGGAAATGGACGACAGCTTCCCGGTGTTCTACAACTATTCCAGGTAATGAAACTAAACATCATCCCTCAGCCTGCAGAGACTACAAATCTGTCTGGATTTTATCCTTTCAGGACAAAAACCTCAGCTGAAACGAAAATGACGGCATCTTTGGTGTTCAGAAAAGTGTCCGAAGAAGATCTGCTGAAGAACTACACCTGCAAGCTGGAATCAAACCATCAACCCTCCACCTCTGTCACAGTCACAATCAGGCGAAAAGGTTGATACGAACAGGAGTATATTTTTTAGCTTTTAGCATCCTTAAGCTAGAAATAAAACCAAACAAGATCAAGTACTTTTTGTGATAAAATTGAGAGCTAAACGACAGCTAAAGAACCTGAGAGAAGCTAAAACATGTTGTTAAAGTCATAACAAACAGAACTGAAGCAAAAAGTAGCAACAATGTAGCTAAAATTGGCAGAATGGGAAAAAATGATCAAATTTGCAATATAGTAGCTAGAAGCTAAAAGTAGCTAAACAATATCCAAAAGATAAGGGGACCAGACGTCCCCGATTTCCAGGGACAGTCCCCGTTTTGGATGACCTGTCCCCAGTTAAATCTGTCCCCGGAAATGTCCCCGATTTTAACGTTTTATGAATCAGAATAAAATGTTTTGTGTAGACTTATTACAGCAGCCAGGTAGAAAGCATGAGTGAGTGAATATGTGGCGCATAACAAAAGTTATTACTGTACTGTAGCTGGTCGCGCTGCTGTAACGTTACAGACAGAAGAAGAAGAAGAAGAGCCGAGCACGCCGCCTTTAAACAGAAGAAAAAGAAGGAAAAAGCGCAGCGTGAGCTTGTCATCATCAGTTGTCCTGTGCACCGATTTATTTAGTTTGAACTGGGCTGATCCTAGCCGTGATGAACGTTTGGGTCGTGGCAGGAAATGTTTCCAGTGTTGTCAGCTGTGTCCAGGTGAAAAAAAATAGGGCTGAGGTGTGTTTGTTTGAACGTATATAGTTCCTCAGTGACAACAAAAAAGGTTAAATCATGTCCAACAATTTTCAGTCAGGTCGTCTGGACAGTTTCTTTTATTTGTGCTGAAACGTTTCACCTTCCATCCAGAAACTTCATCAGTCAAGGAAACACACAACACAAACACAAATCTGATTCTTCCCCCAACAGCTTACTCCAAAGTGGAACAAACCAGTTATGTTGGTACTAAGATGGTGTCTTTGGCACGCCCCCTCCTCTGGTGCCGGCCCTCTTCCTTATCAACAGTCATGTCAGACTGGTTCAAAACAAAGTTGGTAAGCTGTTGAGAGAAGAATCAGTTTTGTGTTGTGTGTTTCCTTGACTGATGAAGCCTTCTGGATGGAAGATGAAACATTTCAGCACCAAAAAAAAAAAGCAACATGATGTGATTTTTCACAGTGATTATTCTGGTTAGAGATTCACAAGTCTAACAGCCTCAGGGTAGAAGCTGTTCCTCAGTCTAGTGGTTCTACACTTAATGCTCCTCAACCTCCTTCCTGAGGGGAGCGGGGCAAAAAGTGTGTGTGCTGGGTGAGTGGGGTCCTTCGTGATGCAGGTGGCCCTCTTCCTGAATCTGGAGTTGTAGATGTCTGTGATGGTGGGGAGGCTGACTCAAACATCTTCTGTGCAGCCTTCACCACTCTCTACAGAGCTTTTCTTTCTGCAGCTGTGCAGCCTCCATGCCACACGTTGATGTTGGAGCACAGGATGCTCTCCACTGCACATGTAGAAGGAGGTGAGGACTGAGCTTCCCAGACCAGCTCGTCTCATCCGCCTGAGGACGTAGAGTCTCTGATGAGCTTTCTTGATCAGGCTGGTGGTGTTGTTGCTCCAGCTGAGGTTGTCATTAAGGTGCACACCCAAGTACTTGTAGCATCATCTGATTAAATGTGCATTTATTCTGTTCTATGAGCTTGGAGCTCCAAATAAATGTAGTTTTTTGCTAAATGTAGGATTTTTAGCATTTCAATAGCGAAGGAAACTAGTTAAATAATTAGAGGCAGTTATTCTAGTGACAAGATGAAATGAGTGAAAGAGCAAATAAAAAGAATAGATAGCATATTACTAAACTATGTCTTCTTCCTTATGTTTTAATTATTTCACTTTACTATTGTCTGTGGGGAGTGGTGGTGCAGAGGTTAGAAAACATGGGCCTGTGGTCAGAAGATTTCCGAGTACCATTAAATACCAAATATAAAGAGTAACTTAAAGCAGTAAAACAGTAACTAACATCTAACACTAGAAAAACTCTAGCTAAGAGATATAAATAGTAGAACAACAACTAAAAGCTAAAAGGAAAGACACGCTTGATAAAATATAAAAGTAGTAGAATGGATGGCTAAAACCTAAAAGTAGAAAAAGGGCTTCAAGCTAAAAGCAAGTAATACTAGTTTAAAGCTAAAAGTAGTTTGACTGCACCAGACGTTTCTCTAGACAGGAGAACATTCATCTTCAAATGTTTGTCTCCTCCAGCTGTTTATCCGTCTCCTCCAGTGTTTGTCCGTTTCCTCCAGCTGTTTATCCGTCTCCTCCAGTGTTTGTCAGTTTCCTCCAGCTGTTTATCCATCTCCTCCAGCTGTTTATCTGTCTCCTCCAGCTGTTTATCCATCTCCTCCAGCTGTTTATCCATCTCCTCCAGCTGTTTATCTGTCTCCTCCAGCTGTTTGTTCTTCTCCTTCAGCTGTTTGTTCTTCTTCTTCAGCTGTTTGTTCTTCTTCTTCAGCTGTTATTCCATCTCCTTAAGCTGATCCGGTCTCATCTTCTTCTACAGCTGCTGTAAAACTTGCCTCTCGCCTTCGGGTCTCTCTCTATCGCCGTGGCAGCAGCTCGAGTTCTCCAGATCCTGGTTCTGGGTCTCAGCTACAGAACAAAATGACTCCTGTGGAGAACCGGACCTGCTAGACCTTCACTGGACCTCCGGCTGTGCGAGCGTCGATCTCGTGTGGAGCTCCACATCAGTCACCTGTCTCAGGTGGACTCCAGTGAACTTCAGGAGTCCTGCAGGACGGACAGATTGGGTCAGCAGTAATGAGGCTGTTGATCCGGGTATTTTACTTAAAATCATTAAATCTTCATTCTGCGTTATGTCATGGATTGAAAAGGTTTTATAACTTTTTATTTGTATTTTTTAATTTATAATTTCCTTTACTCTGTGTTTTTTTTATTGTTTTGTCTTTTTGTTTATTTTTTTTAAACTTCATATGTTGTTGACAGTTTTATTCTTCCGCAAGAAAAAAGCCACAAAAATGTGTTAATTTAAGAAACTGATGACTGATGTGGTCCATCTGCTGCATCTGTATGAAAAACAACACATGTTTGTTTTCTGTCTTCTTGTGGACAAAACTCCTTTTTTTTCTTCAGAGAAATTTCTTAAAAATTAATTTTAATAAAACTAAATCTGTAATATCCTGATGCATGCTCAACCTGTAATATAAATAAATGTAAATCTGTAATATAATGAAGCCGTTACTTTTTATTTTATGCTCATTAAATAACTTCAGCTGTGTGACACTCAAAGTAAAAACATGAGGTTGTTTTTGTTTTTGTTGTGAAAACAACAGGAAGTCAAAGCTGCAGCCGTTATCAGCTGGTATAGTCTGTTATTGGATATCAGCTGTTTTCGGCTGTTATCAGCTGGTACCGGACATGATATGTTGTTATCAGATGTTATTGGTTATTATCTACTTTTTATCAACAGTTATCAACAGTTAACAGCTGTTATCAACTGTTATTGGCCATTATTCACTGTTAACAGCTGTTTCAGGCCCCTCCAATGGAACCCTTCCATTTGGAGCCAATCGACGTGTTGGCACATGATAGTGAATTGACCCATTCATACAACACACTCTATACAGAATAATCAGAGCTTTACCACATTCAGACACTGATGGGACACACATCAGAGGCAACGAGGGGTTCAGTGTCTTGCCCAGGGACACTTGGGCATGTGACTGCTGGTGGAATCAAACCCCCTACTCTTGCATTGGAGGACGACTGCTCTAACCACTCAGCCGCAGTCGTCCCCAGTGTACACAATGTGCATGTGTAATTTTGCACGTAAAACAACACACTGTCCAAGAAATGTTCAAATGTGTGCACGTGACAGCAGGGATGTGAGCGGTGACTGTTCCACAGTTCAACAGCTGCTGGGATGACGCTCCTTTGTGCACCTCGGATGCAGCAGTCCGTCCCTGAAGGAGCTCTGTACTGAAGCAGATGGTCGCTCGCCCTGAGCCTGGTTCTGCTGAAGGTTTCTTCCTCATGAGGGAGTTTTTCCTTTCCACTGTCGCCTTCGTGCTTGCTCAAGATGTGTCAACTTGTTATTTTTATATATGAATGTTTCTGTTCAGTGCCCTGAGATGACTTCTGTTGACTTGGCGCTATATACATAAACTGAACTGAATTGAGTTCTGGGACAGCTTCATTGGGTGGGAGACATTGTCCATGGAGTTCTTCTGTCTCACACCACCTGCACTGGGTCAAGGGGGCATCCTCGGACGGAGCTGGCCTTCCTGATGAGTTCCTCTAACTCTTCCTCTCAGCTGTAGAGAAGATGCTGCTCCAGCAATCGACACCACGGAAGATGGCTGAAGAGTCAAAACAGGTCTTCAGGAGCGCCCCTTGTCCTCCAAAACACCTCCGATGTTGGAGTTTTATTTTGAATACCTTGTGTGTGGATAATGTTTGTTATTTTATATTTTATGTTTCCAGATGAGATTAATTTTGTTCTTTCAACGGTTCAGTGGTTTAATTATAAATTTTAATCAACTGTTTTAAGTTTTAATGTAAGTCCTGCAGAGACAGGAAGAACAGAAACATAAATAAACCTGTTTAAAGCGTTTTCTTGGGGTTTGTGTCCAGCAGAGAATCATTGAAGCCATGCTGTGAGATGAAATGTTCTGACCCGGCCCAGCTCTGCAGAGATCTGATGCCTGGAAAAGATATACAGTACTGTATAGATATATTTTAATGAGTTCACAGGAGGAAAACTGAAACATCCTCAAACTTTGTTTTTACATTTAATCGTGTTGCTTTCTTTTTATTTCTCCATTTTATGTGCTGCACTTAAAAACTGATGTTCTTAAATAAAGTTTAATAAATTACCTTTAGGTGAAGTCTTAGCGTTAATGGTTAAAAAGGGTCAGCTTTAATTAATAATGTGTGTTTGACGTCGCCACAAATTATTGTGCTTTTATTTAGAAAGTGTTTGTTTTGCCAAATATCCGGGTTGTTCTGCTGGACGGGTTCTTTACTGAATCTTGTTTTTGTATTTTATCATTAATGAATAAATAAGTTAAATAATAAACTTGTCTTTAATGTTCTGAGCAGAATCTGATGAATGTGAATCAAAACTCTTCAGATCAAAAATTATTTGTTCAACCTGCGGTTACAAAATTTGACCATTAGAGGGCGACAGCACATCGTTAAATAAAATAACTAACGCGTCAAGTTTATTATTGAGAAATTATGTTTCAAATTTACTGTAAAAATTTGTTTTTAAAGAAACAAATAAAATTTGTCGTTTCAAATGTCCAAGCTACATAAAGATAAATATTCAGACTTTTGCCACTTTAGCTTTTAGTTAACTTTTCTTTCTTTCAGCTTTAAACTTATCGCTTTGCTTCTTTGGGCTTTTACAGTTCCTTTCAGCTTCTTCAGTAAAATATTTCAGCATTAACTTTGTTTTTACAAAGAAATTTTACATATTTTTTATTTTTTCAAATTTTGACAGCATTTTGCTGCAGCTTCAGTTTTAGCTTATGCAGTTTTGGCTTCAGCTTCGGTGATAGTTTTAGCTTCATTTTTGGCTTTAGCTTCAGCATAAGCTTCTATTTTAGCTTCATCTTTAGCTTAATCTTCAGTTTTAGCGTCAGCTTTGGCTTGGCTTCATCTTAAGCTTTGCCTTTAGCTTCATTTTGGACTTCAGCTTCATCTTTAGTTTCATCTTGAGCTTCATCTTTAGCTTCAGCATCAGTTTCATCTTTAGCTTCATCTTTAGCTTCAGCATCAGTTTCATCTTTAGCTTCAGCATCAGCATCAGTTTCATCTTTAGCTTCATCTTTAGCTTCAGTTTCATCTTTAGCTTCATCTTGAGCTTCAGCATCAGTTTCATCTTTAGCTTCAGCATCAGCTTCAGCATCAGTTTCATCTTTAGCTTCAGCTTCATCTTTAGCTTCAGCATCAGTTTCATCTTAAGCTTCATCTTTAGCTTCAGCATCAGTTTCATCTTTAGCTTCAGCATCAGCTTCAGCATCAGTTTCATCTTTAGCTTCATCTTTAGCTTCAGCTTCATCTTTAGCTTCAGCTTTAGCTTCAGTTTCATATTTAGCTTCATCTTGAGCTTCAGCATCAGTTTCATCTTTAGCTTCAGCATCAGCTTCAGCATCAGTTTCATCTTTAGCTTCATCTTTAACTTCAGCTTCATCTTTAGCTTCAGCATCAGTTTCATCTTAAGCTTCATCTTTAGCTTCAGCATCAGTTTCATCTTTAGCTTCAGCATCAGCTTCAGCATCAGTTTCATCTTTAGCTTCATCTTTAGCTTCAGCTTCATCTTTAGCTTCAGCATCAGTTTAATCTTTAGCTTCATCTTTAGCTTCAGCATCAGTTTCATCTTTAGCTTCATCTTTAGCTTCAGCATCAGTTTCATCTTTAGCTTCAGCATCAGCTTCAGCATCAGTTTCATCTTTAGCTTCAGCTTCATCTTTAGCTTCAGCATCAGTTTCATCTTTAGCTTCATCTTTAGCTTCAGCATCAGCTTCAGCATCAGTTTCATCTTTAGCTTCATCTTTAGCTTCAGCTT